CCCGCGCTTTCTCTCCGGGAGGGTGGAGGGAGGTTTGCGCGACGCTTCTGTTTAGGGAAACGACGCGCACAAACAGGACCGAGAATAATCGTCTTTGGCCTCGCGCACGCTGAGGAGAGGAGGGAAAGAGGGGGTGGGGGGGGGGGGGAAGTAGGGAAGACGCGGCAGCTTCTCACCCGCGGCTCGAAACAATCGCAACTATGCCCCAACAATTTATAATTCCGCGCTGCCGCATCCTCCACCCGCGCGTCGAGCGTCTCCCACACCCGTGGCATGGCAGCCCCGGGATCGCGCGCCCTGTGTGCACAGCGCATAGTGCACAGTTAAATGTTATTACTTCAGTCGTTGCAGATAATTTCCCTCGGTTTGTCCGCCGGGGCGAATTCCGTTCCACTCGGCCTCCCCCCCCCCCCCCTCCCGCGTTTGCACGAGGGACGAGGTCGTCAACTCGCGGAGTTCGCTGCTGCATGAATGCTGCTATAGGGGCAGAAATAACGCCGCTTTTGCGCGAAGTCAGCAACGCGAGCCAAGTAGTTAGCCACCTCCTTACCTCTACCGGAGAAATGCGAGAGACGATGGAGCAGGAAAAATAACTAATTGTTGTTAGAGAAGAGTCGAAATTAAACGTTGTATTTTATTAATATATACTGATAAAAACGTATGTTCAGATAATTAATGAGGCAGAAATTCTTAATACTTCTATTTGTGACTTGTTTCTGCATAAAATTAAAAACTAAAAGCAATTAATTCTACAAATGCGAAAATAACACTCTTATTTTATTTCCTTTTATAAATGCGTAGTTGAAATAACATAGGACATATTATTGTCAAATTGTTTTACATGCTTGTAATTTCGTTAAACTTTTATATGTATTTTCCCCTTTCTTATTTTTGTCGGTTTTAGGGCTCATTTTCACAGACGTTTATTTTTTTGCTTATCTTGTGAAAATGTTAAATATTACAAAATTTCAAACAGTATTATAAAAAACTGCTATATTATTTTATAAACGATACTTTCTAATTCATATTTATGTTATCAAAGTTTTATTTTTAGCTTTTACTTTAAAAAATATAATTCGAAAACAAAGTGATAACGATGGCTTTTCTCTACTATTATCTATATATAATGAAGATAGAAAAAAAATAATTTTTGTAGAAATACATGAAATTATCTTAATAATATTTCTGCATTGTTAATATTTCTTATGTTTCTGTCAAATTTCTGAAAAATATTAATCCAAGATAGTGTTTCTGTTTAAAATATATTAAAAAAAAAAACGCAAAAAGACCAAATGTCATAAAAAGAAGTAAAATTAAAATGTTTTTTTTTTTCAAGTATATTTAAGTATATTTAGATTAATAAAGAATATCTGGTAGTTGAGCAAAACGAACTAACTCGACATAACAAATAACAATTAAGGGCAAATTTAGATGATAAACGAAATTTCCAGCAGCTTACTTGACATGCTCGTATGCACTTTCTCGTATAATGCATGTTATAAAGAGAGATTTATTATATATTAATTTATTAAAATATGTTTTTTGTAATTTTATTAGAGGAAATTATTCGGCATTTATTATTGATAAATAATACATACCATACAGTAAAAAAAATTTATGATTAATAAACATATTTTCTGAGATAGAAACCATTTCATATATAATGACAAACTTTCACAAAAACTGCATTGTAAAATACATTGTTATAATTGAAATAAAAAGAGTTAATACTCCGAGAGAGAGAGAGAGAGAGAGAGAGAGAGAGAGAGAGAGAACAAGATCGGTGGAAAAATCGACGTTGTCGAGTCGAGCAGTGTGCGATTCAACTGGCGCGGAAATTGCGCGCGCGGAACGATTAACGGTCTCGCGAAAGGGCGAGGGAGATGCGAGGCGGAAAGGAGGGGGGAGGGGGAGAGGGGAGAAGGAGGAAGCCGCTTGCGTTTCTTCGCCGACGGGCGCGGAAGGTAGTGGTTTGCGTTAAAGCTCGTGCGATCTCTCTGCGTTTGTACGCGCCACAAAAGGTTTGACGGTTAGGCATGCGTGCGCGCGTGCTGCGCTCCCGGCCCGGGAGGGTTAATGCACCGAGAAGCGCATTACCGAGGAGTGCCTTACCGGTGAGGGAAGTGCGAGAGCGAGTGCAAGACCAGCAGTCACCCCCTCCCCCCCCACCCGATGCAACGCTCCTCCGCCTGATGCAGCCGAGGGTCCGAAAGGGGAGATGAAAATGTCGGCGAGAGCTAAAAAGCAGAGGATCATCCCTTCGCTCGGTGCTCCGCCGCGGCTGATGCGGAGGAAAACGTCCACCGCGATTTTTCTCGGCCGAACATTTTACGTTCATTGAATATATATACTTAAATTTTTTTTTGCTCTTCTGTTGCATGAGAAATATTTTAAAATATTGTCCCTCCGCGCGCGTAGGAGTCGCTTTTCGATGTGTGGTCCGTCCGACGTGGGTCACAAATTTCTCTTTCACTTTTATTTGTATATTTATATACGGATGACTATTCGTGTATCGGTGGCTATACTTCACTCGAATGTACATACTATAATAAGTTGCAACGATGGTTTTCGAACATTTGCATAAGACAGAAGCGACACAATTAAATTTCCGAAGCTTAAGTGGATCATAATATTCGTACTCATCATGCTGGCGCTTAATTTTGTAATAAGTGGTCAATATAAAATTAATACACATGTTTATATGTATATATACAAATAATCTTGCCAAATTTTTGGCCTCGATATTTACAAAAGGTGTTAGTAACACTGTGTAATCATCAAACAGATGGTTGTGATAACAATTGTCGAAATATTTCTAGAATATGTATGAAAATTGAATGAGGATATTCAGAACACGGTTTGTAAACATCGAGGTAAAATCTTCACGGAAGTCAATAAGTCAGTTATGATACTAATATATGATATAGTTAAGTTTATTTTACGGAAAGAACGATTTTGTCGGAAAGTCTAAAAACTTTTGCTGGATACGGATTTGAAAATAATTTTGTTGGAAATTTAAACCGACTAGAATGTTAAAATGTTTCACAGCAATGCTTATTATTTTTATGTTTTCAACAATATTATTTTCAGATTTGTATCTAGCAAAACTTTTGGACCTTTCAGCAAAATCGTTCTTTCCGTATTCAATATCAAGTATCTGTCTATTTTCTATAATCTACACTAAATGGATTTAAAAACAGATAATTATTTTAAGTTGTAGAGTCATAGAGTCTTGGTTATAAGTATAAAGCAGCTCAAAAATTGACGTTCAAGTAAACATTCTGTATTAAACCAAAAATATAAAAAGCATTAATTAAAAATCAATTTTATTAAAAAATAATATTTATTTTTATAACAATTTTAATATTTTGTTAGTTTTTCTTTGACTCTTATTATCGTCTTTTTCAAGAAACTGCAATAAATGGAGGATGCTTTATTTTTATGATCAAGGAAGTATAAATAAAAATTAAAAAACTTTATTTATACTTACAATAATTGAAAATAAAATTATAATACATATAAAATTATAATATAAAATTAACATACAACAATTATAATATAAATTAATATAACAGAAAATTATATTATAATATAATATAAATTTTAAACATATAAAAATTAGATTACAAAAAATCAAATAAAATCAGTTTGTAAGAAAAATCTAAGTTCTATAAATAAAAAGCGTCGAAAGAATTACAAAATAATTTACTAAAGCTTTATCAGAACGCGTCTTATAAGAAAGATGAATAAATGAAATACATAAATAATAAAAAGGTTTACGCACAGACCAAAACACACTGAAATAAAAAAAATATATTAAATTGAGATTTAATTTAAAAATAAAAAGTGAATGAAGCCGAAGACCTACACAGTGTTATTTCGGGAGAGGGATCAGATTAAATTTACAGTTAGCTTTTTCGTTCTTCTTTGCTTCAATCTCACGTCCTACCAAACAGTCTCTCGCTCGCGATTTCCGAGAGGATCTTCGGGAGTGTGAGGGTGTCAAGGTATATGGATGCAAGGCAGGCGGAAACCTTGAAGAACGAGAGTGGAACGTGAAACGAAAGCGGATGTCGCGGCCGAGAGGGACGAAATCGTTAAAAGGAATGCGCAGTCGAGCGAAAGAGACTTCGAGAGATCGGCGGTGAGGGGTCGGTCGGCCGGGCCAGTTGAAATAATGTAGAGAAAGCTCTAAAAAGCTCCGCCAGAAATCCAGCGAGACACCCGCCACCCCATTTTATTTCAGTTCCCTCGGCTTTCGGGGGAAGAAAATTTTCTGCGATACATTTTCTTCTTGTCGTTATAGCTCCCGCATTAAGCACGTTAGTTTTATAAATGCGATATTCATCTATGATTGCTTTAAATTTTAAATTTCAGATAGTCTTTTTCAGGGAAAATTCAAATTTGGATGGGACAGATCACATTTTTCGTATTTGTGAATACGTCAAAATTTATACTTAACAATTTTCTTTTATTGAAATTATTATTTGAAAGCAAACAATTAAAAAATAAAATCTTATATAAATAAGAAATAATATAACGTGATTATTATTATTATTATATAATAAAAGGAAAATAGTAAATTTACAGATAGGAAAACAATATAAAAAATAAATGATTTCTGAACTTCGAAATTATAAAAAATAGCGGACATTCTGTGATAATGAATTGTACAATACGTGAGTCATCATTTTGATTCAAATAATATGCACGTTTCAGTCCATGAATTTTCCCGCCATAAACGTCTAAAATATACATCTGACATGCTGTGCATTAAGAGATTAGATCGCGGTTTGAATTTGCAGAGAGAGTGATACCGAGTGATACCGTCCAAAGACAACAACTCTGAGTCTCAGGCCTTGATTTGTGTCTCGAGATGCGCGCAGTTACTCTCGTTGCCCCTTCTAAGAATTGTCTATCCGCAATTCAACCTTTCAGGAATCTGTTTCTCTTTGGCATACACGTACCGTCGTTTTTATTATCTTCAGTTTAGTCGCGTGTCTTGAATGGAGGAGAGAAGAGACTCGAGGGTAAAGACCGAAACTCGTTGACCTGTTGACTTGTCAGTCTTGTTAAGATTCCCGGTAAAACCACACTTGCATTTCGCAGGCTCCGACTGATTACTTTTTTTTTGTGTTTCAATTGATTGTTAACAGAAGAATAGAAACGGTAAGTTATTAAAGTTAATTGAGTAAAAGTTAAATAACATTGAATTAAAAAAAAATTATTTCTATTTTTAATTTGTACTTTTTAACTTATGATGAAATTTTACAAATTTTACGTAAACAATGTATATATTAGTAAAACGCATAATTAAAAATTACAAGTGCGGTATATATTATAATGCAGGGATTGGAAGTAACTCGTTACTTGTAACGCCGTTACCGTTACAGTTACTTTTTTTGGTAACGGATTGGTAACGTTATTTTATTTTTTTGGTAACTGTAACGGTAACGTAGTTACATTTTTTTTGGTAACGGTAACGAATTATAGTTACTTTTATCGTTACTTTTTGTATTTTGAACTTTTTGCATTTATGATAAAATTTTCGTATGTATATTCAATCTTCAGTTTTTAGTTAGTATTCGCATAGTTTACTCTTATTTTAAGACTTTTAAATAATGTCTTAAAATATTAATATGACTCTGTGATTGGTTTATGACGTCTTAAGAATAAGTCAATTAATATCCAATTAATAGTCAAAGAATAAGTCAATCCATAAGTCAATTAATATTACAAATTAAATTGACAAGTACTTTAATAAGATATTTTTACGTTATATATGCATCTTAAAATTTATTGCGAAAAATATCAGCTGAATTGCGTTTCTAGATCGAAAATTTAATTGGCTCACAGTTTGTAAAATTGAATATGTATATATAAATTTATTTTGAAATATTAAGTACTAAGCTGGAAACTCTAACTCATATCGAAAAGGCCTTCATTTTCTTAGTTTTTATATATCGATCTAGTGTCATTGTTATATTGCTTTTATTAATATTAAAACAAAAAACTGCATCTTAAATTATTTAGATTGATCTTGTTTCAGCATTAAAAAAGTAACGGAAAAGTAACAAATCGTTACTTTCTAAGTAACGGTAACGAGTTATTTTTAAAAATCAGTAACTAGTAACGGTAACTATATAGTTATTTTTTAACTCGGTAACGAGTAACAATAACTAGTTACTTTTAAAAAGTAACTTTCCCTGTCATAATGGATGATTTAATGCAAGTAAAAAAAGGTATGAGAGTACTTACAATTAGCGCCATGCAATTATGATATACTAGACGTTATTATTCCGCGTTGAAAAGTGCGACTAAAATCTGGTTAATTGTAGATAATCCAAATCAGTATCACCGCGAGGAAGCTGGCGGTGAGGAAGCTGGCGTGCAGCGCGCAGGAAATGCCGTGCGGTGAACAAGCATCATGCGTGTACGCGTTAACACACATTAACGTCGGCATCATAAATCTTATTTTTAGTGGGTCATCACGATAGTTTCGTTTTGTATCGCGCGATGTTAACACGCGTAATTATCGATGTTTAGTCAGTTGTAGAGCACACGAAAACTTCTTCCGGACACGTTTACATTTGGAACTGTTAACACGTGCGGGGCTTAACGTTAATTTGCAATTCACGTAGTTAATAAATTACGTTAATTAGCTTGCAATGAGGGGGATTAGTGTGATTAGTCTGATCGGATTTTGCATGCTCGCACTGTTTGTTAATAATAACGGTGTAACGGAAGGTCACAGCGCGAAAGATTACTTACGCGGTTTTTTAGCGTTAAAACATCTTCCAGATCTTCGACATGGTATTCTTCCAGGTGATTTTCCGTATTTAGTTATTAAATAAAAAAAATCCTAATCTATTAGATTGCTTTAAACAATTAAATCTTTTAGCATTGATAATAATTTTCTTATTTCTTTCTATTTAAATAGCATGCTTAAATGGCATGATGAGTTTAGTTTAGTTTTCATTTGACTGCGTAAGAGCTAAATATTAAAAAAATAATAGTATCGTATTTATATTTGAAATTTGAGTATACATTAATTGACACTTTTTGTAATTAATATTACAAAAACAAACAAATGTACATTTCATAATTTCTATTTTATTTATATTTACTAAAACTTTTTCGACGACTATTTTTATTTCATGAGAAATGTACAATGAAATAAACCTTTTAAACTAAATGTATAAATACATATACATTTATTTTAAAGCTTGAATATTTATGATTTTAAATTATTAGATATTCGATTTTTTCATTTTGAACGTTTTGGTCTTTAGCTGCTACTTTTAATTTAGTTGCAGTTTACATATGTCATAAAATTTCTGTTTAATAATAGTTTTATTAACATAAATTAACATATTAACATAAAGCGTATAAACGAGATCAACTTTTCAATCTAAAATTAATTTATAATTTGCAATTTTAGTGAAATATTTAAAGAATATAATAACTTACTTTTTATTTTAAATTTGAGTACATATTAATATTATGTAATTGACATTATAAAAACAGTATTACCTTGAAATTTATGAATTTATAAATTTTATAAAAAAATTTTCCGACGACAATTGTAAATTTCTAATTTGTTATATTTTGATATGTTATCATAAATTACACGATCTTCCTTGCTCTTTAGGCACTCTTTGGTGCGGCCTGGGAGATATCGCCCGCGACGATTCCGATCTTGGCTTGTATACGGAGATGGACAAATGTTGCAGAGCTCACGACCGCTGCGAGGACTATATACAGTCGAAAGCTACGAGATACGGGTTGTACAACAAGTACTTTTGCAGAAGGTACGGCAATTACGATCGTTAAAAGCGCGCGAGAGTGCATTTCTCCCTTTCGGGCTTTTTGCAGCTCATTGTGCGAGTGCGAGACGCAATTTCACAATTGTTTGACGCAGCTACGCGGCATGTACCCATACGCCGTGAGAAGAATATACTTCAGAAAATGCAAGCAGTGCTTTCGCACCTTCTACGATCCCCAGGAGTGCACAAATGAGTAAGTGCAACGAAATAATACGCCAAGTACTTTTGCATATGTTATTGTTTTTATCATTATTTATTATTTAAAATTAACTGTTTCATTAAACTTACACACACACACACATACACACACATATTTGAACAAATATTAAAATATCCAGAATTAATTGTATATTTTCTGATTGTTAAGCCAACATGACGATAATATTGATGACTTCGCGCGTATATATGTTTATATCGTTATGCTTTATTAAAATTCCATTGACGAAACGCATTATTGTTTTCGCGTGATTGTTATCGATCAATTAATTTTAAGTGAAAATTGAATAGAAATTGTTTGTTACATCGCCGATCGGTTTCCCATCAACCATTAATTAATTATATCACTGATTTATAGGGGCCTTGATATAATCGAAGAGACGGACCGTAAGGGTCGCCGTGTTTTCTGCGCCAAGTTTGACCGAAATCCAAAATGGGGCCACCGATACATTACCACGCCGGCATCGATCCCCGCTACCAAACTTCCAACCGGGGACGATGATGAATCTATACAACTTGTTTCGCGCTTCTTTCCCGAGGACGACGAAAAATATTCGAACGACGAGGACGACGATACCTACGACGAAAGTTATACCTCGATCGAAGACAATTATTAATGCATTTAATGTTAAAGTTAACGCTCGCGTTTCTGACCAAAATTCCCGATAACGGGGATCTATTTGGAAAAGTTTTTTTAAGTTCCACAGAGGATAATTTCTTAAAATATCAAAATACAGGGTGTTCGGCGAAATAGTTTGCGATTTTAAACGCTTCCAATAATTTCAGAAAAGAGGTTGAAAGTTGAACATTCATCTGTTTCATGCTGGCTACATATAATAAAAAAAGATTGAAAAATTTTTTTTATAAAAAATCAAGTAGGTTATCTTGCATTTTTTAAATAATATCATATATATTTTTTTAATAATGGCGTTAAGACGAATTCAATGTACTACCAAGAATGTCACTTTTATTGATTTTATCGATATACATAAACTTATCATAAATATCCATCAGCAAAGAATACCAATCATGAACGCAAATCAATAAAGAAAAACTGTAACTTATGTAAGCAAATGTTTGCTTCCTTCTGCAATACAAAATTCTGCTCTTTTTAAAGAAATTACTATGCGTAGCAGCTCTTAAACTATTTGGATCCAAAGTTGCATAAGTTGTAATTGTTCTTTCTTGAAGATCTTGAATATTATTTATATTGATGTGTTTGATGTACCTACAAGAGATTGCAGATATTCCCGTAAAAAAAATCTGTCGAAGAACTTGCCGGCCATCGGATTGAGCCACATGTATTATACTTATAACATGTTTCATCAATAAAATTTATTTGCATGAATTATAATCTTTCTTTATTAATGGATATTTATGATAGATATGTATGTCGATAAAAACAATAAAACATTATTAAAAGTGACATTTTCAATAGACGTTTTTTGAATTCACCTTAAAGACTCCAACAAATATTATGATAAAAAATTGTATGAGGCTATTCAAAAAGGTGACTTTAACTTTTTATAGAAATATTTTTTTTCAATTTTTTTTATCACATGTTATAGCCTGCATAAAACAGATGAATATTCCCTTTTAATTTTTTTTTTAAACTATCGAAAATGTCTAAAAAATCGTGCGGGCCGTTACGAACAGCATATACGCATATACGCACCAGTTTTAAATATTAAGAAAAAGTACATAAAAATTAATGTTCGGTTTTATATCCGAAAAAATTATTTTTTAAATATATTTCTCTTTTTACAACAGCTTGTCCAAACGGTTAATTAAATGGTTTTATTATAACGTATCATGAGCGCCGACCTTAATTGTTTCAGCTGAAAGCATTTTGAAATTTCCATATTTGGAGAATATAGAACATATTGGAATAACACTTTCATTACTCTGCTTAACACTCTAAAGTCTAAACATATTTTAAATCCGAATGCTCTTCTAATTCAATTTTAAGTTACTTGAGTTAATTTTGAGACATTAAAATTTTTGAATTTAACGGTATTTTTATCAATAATAATTTAATTATTCTATCTACGTTTCTAGAAGTGAAAGTGAGATTGTGAACAATGAGATTACAACAAATAATAATAATAATATTAATAATGGTCCTCTTATAGCTGCATCTTTAATTACTTAGGTCATGCTTAAATTTTACATACAATGTATATGTATATAACTTAAGCATGATCTAAGTAATTAAAGATGATTAAACGATGTAGCTATAAGAGAAACATTTTATTATTATTATTATATGCGCGCGCGCGCGTGTGTGTGCATACGGCTAATACTTTAAACAATGTCATAATAAATTAATTTCTTCTTCATTTTACAGTTTGTATATACATGTATATATATAAACAATAAAATAAAGGAAATCATTTTCTTATATTCGCGCATACATTTGAGATATTATATACATATTCAAGAGGGTTGGTTATAATGAAATCGAGATCTTTCATTCGAAATAAATTTTCTATGACGAAGCACATCTGACTTCAAGAGCTCTGCATGTAATGGAATAGCATCATAAAAATTTTCTGATTCATGCAAATTTCTCCGTTTCTAAACACGGAGGGAGGTAGGGAGGGAGGGGGCGGGGAAGGAGCGAGGGGCCTCAGGCTGCGCAGCACATGTCTAAACGCGGCACTGACGCAATCGTGCCCCCACGAGTGCGATTCCAAACTCCGCTCCGAAATTGCTTCGTCCTGGATATGGCGGCCGTTCCCAGGTGCACGGTGCGAGGAACCGGGGAGGTTACTTGAAAATCCGCCGAGAATTTTATCGCGAGGCTGTAGACACGCGGGCGAATGAGCGAAGCTATCTCCATTCTGCGATTTCTCTCTCTCCTTCTCTCTCTTCCTCTGCCTCCCCCTCTCCCCCCCCTCTCTCTCTCTTTCTCAACATTACCTTTTGCAGCTCGGGAGTCATACTCTTCGTGCTACCCCTTCCGCCTGCCCTTTCCTCACCGCCCGTCTTTCATGCGAAAAGAATGTTCAATTATGCAAAAATACGCGCGAAAGTTTCGCCGGAGGCGCTCGTTCTGCGAGGGGTGTTTCGGAATTAATATCAGATGAGACCGGGGCAGAAATTGCGGCTAATGCGAATCAGCGCGTTGTGTTGACGACTAACTCCTTGTTTTGAGATTTCTCTTAATTTATTACGCTCGTTACTGTTCGCGGACGTATCTATTCGAATATTTATAACAACGAATATTTCGGCGATTTGATGAAACTCTTGATTTGAGTATTATAGATTTCATTTTATGTGCATACCTATATAATCAGTGTCGCGTTTTTTAATATTTGCTGAATTTTGCTAGAAGAATCATGGAAGTAGGTAAATTATGGAACGCGTGGCCTTTCTGGATTTATTTCTTACATTACTTATAACAATGACTATGTTTACACATCACTCTTAAATCGGATCTATAGTTATGAAACTGGCCAATCACAGTCGTTTTATTTTTCGGAGGAATTGCTATAATTGGCGAGTTTAATAACTATTACAAATATTATCAAACCTGATTAAGAACGACGTAGTAAATAAAGCATTATAAAAACATCAATTATACATATACTCTAACGATGATCAACATCAAGAAAATTGACAATCATATATCATAAATACAGGGTGTCTCGTACTCAATGGTACAGCGCTTGTGGGGAGATAGTATGGACCAAACTGAACAAAAAGGTCTTCTACCGTTTTGCGATCTTCGTAATAGTTATCGAGATACTAATCATTAAAAAAAAATTTACGCCAAGTATATATAAGTGTATCGTACATTAGGTACATCTTATCTAAACTAAGAATATTATTTTAATAAATAAAAGTTGTCCAAAAACAAATATGAGATCATACAAATTGCCAAGTATTTGATTAGACATAGAGAGTAGAGACAAAAATATTTTATTCTAAACTAGAAAAATATTTTTTAATAAATCG